GCATTTACTTATTCAATTTACTTTTATGGTTTGTATTTTATTACTCTTCTTAGAGTTCTTAAGTATCTTATGTTTTATTTTCAAAATATGTTTAAATTATTATAGTTAAAGTTAGTTATGTGCCTTCCCTTTTATTTTATCGTATCCTATTCTGTTATGCTATTCTTAATGCTATTCAAGCGTTCCACTTATTTTCATTATTCAAGATGTGATTTGAAGTTGTGTTCAAAATTCCAATTATTCAACGTGTCTTCCCTTATGATTTTATTCTTTAGAAATTTCTTAGATTCAAATATTTTAAACTATTTTTCAAGATGCATAATTATTTTACATAGTCAAAATTATATTCAATGTTCCAGTCGTGTCTCCTATCTTTTTCTTATTTTCTTATTCTTTATCTATTATGCCATTCTCCATTTTTCGTTCTTTAAGATACATTTTTTAATTAACATAGTTAAAATTATGTTCAAAGTTGCAGTTTGTGCAATCTGCCTTGTAATTTCTTATATTGTGCCCTCCCCTCTCAAGTATTTCCATTTTTTCAAGATACGCATTTTTCAATTACATATTTGATATACGTTCAAAATTCCAATTGTTCAACGCGTCCTTTCCATTGGTATTTTATCCCATCTTCCACGTATTTTCATTTTTCAATATACGACACGCTGTTTAGGGTCCTATTTACTTTTATTTCTTTCAAGACTTACTTTTCTCAACTATTTCAACTCGAAGCCCTCGTTCAAATCCCTTTATCTCTTGACACGTTCAACGGGGCACTAAAGATTGTAGAAAGTTGCTGAAAATCCAACGACGATCATTCTCCCTCCCTTTTTTTTTATTTTGAAAATTGCCTCCAATCCAATTCCAGCGTATTTCTTTTTCCATTGAATTTAATTCCTTCCCTCCTACCCTCTTCAGAAATCTTCAGAATTCGTTTCCTTTCTCCTGCTGACGAAAAAAAGAAAAAAAGAACAAAATTCAAAATTTTCGATCCAAGCCACTTTACACCTATCTTTCCCCGCCGAAACTCTTCTCTCTGCGGGTAAACCACAGAACAGCAGGAGGAGGAGGAGAAAGGGGTAAGAAAAGACGTTCTCTCGATGGACGTTAACCAGACCTGACCCGAGCGCAGGAAAAGTCCGAGTGCGACGGATGCGTGCTCGATAAGAGGAGGGGGAGGAAAAAAATAGAGAGGTTCCCTCCCTGGAACCGATGCACACGCGTATCGTCGACGGCGACCGCGGCGGCGACGACGTCTGCTGGTGGTGGGCCATCTGCGTCCAATAAGCGATAGCGGCTTATTTCAAACGAATTCCCGCGGTCGAGTGTTCGTGTGCTCTTCTTCTTCTTCTTCCGCCGCGACGATGCGTCTTACCTCTTCCTCGCCGAGTTTTGCGTGCCGCGTTCCGTTTCGCTCGTCTAATAAAAGTACCTCCTCCCCTTCGCGTTTCTGCACGGGTGTAATGAGTAAATTTGCAAATTTAATCGATCCTTAGGGTGGGTAGGTGTTGGATCTTGAACTATCTTTTATGGATGAACATGAGTGAATAATAATGTGAATTTATGTAGTTTTTACACGAGAGGGATTTCACATTTTCTTTCGGGAGAATTATTGACAATTAATGGGAAAAAGTGATTGATATATATTTTCGTGAAATTCGATTTAACCCGCCGCGGCAAAAACGTGCACGGCGCTCGAGAAAGATGGTCCCGTTGCTTTGGCGGTGTTTACTGGATTGATGATAAAAAGAAAAAATATCGATGCTACGTGGTACAGAGAAAGATATTTCATGTGCGATCGATCGTCATATCGTACGATACGCGTCTTATGCAGACCGATTATAGTCGTCTGCCGTGGTACCTCATTGATATCTTATGGAGAGCGACTATAGTCGGCCATAATCTCTGTGGCATCTTATGTAGGCCGACTATAGTCATCCATAGTATTTCATCTTATGGAGAATGACTGTAAATCGACCGTGGTATTTTAATAGTATCTTATGCAGAGCGACTATAGTCGATCGTAGTACGTCAGTAACATCTTGTGCAGAATGATTATAGTCAACAATAATCTCAATGGTATCTTGTGCAGAGTGATTATAGTCAATGGTATCTTATAGAGAGCGATTATAGTTGCTCATAAATTCAGTGCAGAGCGACTATAGTCGTCCATAATCTCACTGGCATCTTGTGCAGAGTGACTATAATCAATCATAATCTCAATGGTGTCTTATAGAGAGCGACTATAATTGTCCATAACCTCAATGCAGAGCGACTATAGTCGGCCATAATCTCAGTGCAGAGCGACTATAGTCGTCCATAATGTCACTGGCATCTTGTGCAGAGTGACTATAATCAGTCATAATCTCAATGGCATCTTATACAGAGCGACTATAATTGTCCATAACTTCAATGCAGAGCGACTATAGTCAGCCGTAGTATTTCAGTAACATCTTATGCAGAGTGACTATAATCGCCCATAATCTCAATGGTATCTTATACAGAGCGACTATAGTCGCCTATAATCTCAGTGCAGAGTGACTATAGTCGCCCATAATCTCAGTGGCATCTTGTGCAGAGTGACTATAATCAGTCATAATCTCAATGGTGTCTTATAGAGAGCGACTATAATTGTCCATAACCTCAATGCAGAGCGACTATAGTCGGCCATAATCTCAGTGCAGAGCGACTATAGTCGTCCATAATCTCACTGGCATCTTGTGCAGAGTGACTATAATCAGTCATAATCTCAATGGTGTCTTATAGAGAGCGACTATAATTGTCCATAACCTCAATGCAGAGCGACTATAGTCAGCCGTAGTATTTCAGTGACATCTTATGCAGAGGGACTATAGTCGCCCATAATCTCAGTGGCATCTTGTGCAGAGCGATTATAGTCAGTGGAGAGTGACTATAGTCGGCCGTAGTACGTCAGTGGCATCTTACGGAAAGCAGTTGCCCATAATACGTCAATGGAACCTTATGCAAACCGACTATAGTCAGTCATAGTACATACAGTCAATAACATCTTATGGAGAGTGACTATAATCGGCCGTAACACCTCACTAGCATCTCACTGCGGACCAACTATAGTCGCATGTAGGATCTCAATAGCAGAGCGATTATAGTCGCCCATAATATTTCAGTGATATCTTGTGAAGAGCAATTATAGTAGTATTTTAATGGTATCTTATGCATAGTCGGCCATAATCTCAGTGCAGAGCGACTATAGTCGTCCATAATCTCACTGGCATCTTGTGCAGAGTGACTATAATCAGTCATAATCTCAATGGTGTCTTATAGAGAGCGACTATAATTGTCCATAACCTCAATGCAGAGCGACTATAGTCAGCCGTAGTATTTCAGTGACATCTTATGCAGAGGGACTATAGTCGCCCATAATCTCAGTGGCATCTTGTGCAGAGCGATTATAGTCAGTGGAGAGTGACTATAGTCGGCCGTAGTACGTCAGTGGCATCTTACGGAAAGCAGTTGCCCATAATACGTCAATGGAACCTTATGCAAACCGACTATAGTCAGTCATAGTACATACAGTCAATAACATCTTATGGAGAGTGACTATAATCGGCCGTAACACCTCACTAGCATCTCACTGCGGACCAACTATAGTCGCATGTAGGATCTCAATAGCAGAGCGATTATAGTCGCCCATAATATTTCAGTGATATCTTGTGAAGAGCAATTATAGTAGTATTTTAATGGTATCTTATGCAGGGCGACTACAGTCGGCCATAATCTCAGTGGTATCTTATGCAGAATGACTATAGTCGGCCAGTGACATCTTATGGAAAGCGACTATAGTCATCCATAATATCTGAGTGGAATCTTATGCAGAGCGACTATAATAGCGACTATAATAGCCGTAGTACCGCGTCTTGAGGAGAGCGACTATAATAATAGCGAAAGAGTGAATCAAAATCATTTACACGTGTAAAATAAACACGCAACCAATTTGTTAAGATCCATATTTAAATTAAAGAATAACAAAGAAACTGAATAGAATTCCCGATTATTTTTGCAAGTTGAAGTGGAACTTGTTGGGAATTCCTTCCTATTGTTTCAGACACCGCGATGGATTTTCAATTCGGCGAAGGCCGGGAGTGCGTTAATTGCGGCGCAATATCGACGCCGCTTTGGAGGAGGGACGGGACCGGACATTATCTGTGCAACGCGTGCGGACTTTACCACAAGATGAACGGGATGAACAGACCTTTGATAAAACCCTCGAAACGGCTGGTAAGTCACCTCCTCTCTCTCCCCCCCTCCCTCTCCCCTGCCAAGCTCCTCTCAGCTTCGTTCGCGATGATTCCACGAGCGGGAATATTGTATCACGGATTTCAGACCGCGACCAGGCGGCTAGGCCTTTGCTGCACGAATTGCGGCACCCGCACCACCACCCTTTGGAGGCGCAACAATGAGGGCGAACCCGTTTGCAACGCTTGCGGCCTCTACTTCAAGCTGCACGGCGTGAACAGACCTCTGGCGATGCGCAAGGACGGGATTCAGACGCGAAAACGGAACCGAAGAAGACGCCCGAGACGCCGAACGCGAGGCCATCCACCGTCGAGCACGAGACCGCCGCCGTTTCAACCGCTTCCTCCCCCTCCACGGGTAAGCGAGCAATTGTGCCCTTCTGCGCAGAACAGAACTGAAACAGACCGATAAATATTTAGCTCGTGTTTAGATTTTAAAATCGTTCCAATAATATTTTTATCCGTACTTGTTATAATCGATCTTGGTTCTTTCTTTTCGATCCAGTAGATCCAATCAGAAGTGATTTCACGATATTCTGATCAATCAACCCGTTAAAATAATTTGATTATTTTGCATCCTGGTTTTGGAATTTTCGTCATTGCAAATTGATCATCGTTTTGATCCATGCTTTTTAATAAATATGTCTCTTCCAGAATGGGATTATTGAATATTGGATTTTAGACGAAGAGACGAAGGCAAATAGGACTGTTCAAAGGCCGAATTTACGCTGAAATTGAATTGAGTTTTCGTGGATTATAAAAATATTGAGCAAATAGTGTTCACCGTTGAAAAGAAATCTCGCGGAAAAAGAGTGTTCTTGGTTGGAATCGTTTATTCTCCTTCGAAATCACTTTAGCCTTCTGATATATCACACTCTGTAGGATATTTTCTTTGAATAGTCGATCAAATTGTAAATTATAATAGAGGATCTCTATTGTGTAAATGAGATGTAATTATTTTCAACTGTGAAATCATTAGTAAGATTTGCATCTCATTGTTTTAGTAGAGTTCTTCTTGTTGTTCTTCTCTATCGCATAATTATATAATAAATGTGTACTTATGCTGATAAATAACACGTTGAAATAAAAATACATATGATAATAGATTATTCTGATCAATCAAACCGACATTTCTTCTGCAAGACTTCTTTCCAACAGTGCACGGATGTGTTGTATTAATCCAAACATTTAAAGATATACCATTTTTGGCATATGAAGAATTCATGCAAAATCTTTAATAGTGCCTTCCAAGAAACAAAAAGATGTTCTTATCATTTCTTAAAGAAATTTTGGAAAAATTGTAAAAATAAATCTAATAATAATGAATATTGGGATATAAAGATTGAATTTACCTTTATATTTTATTTCTTTTTTTTGATAATGAATAGTAATCTTGGAAGTAATTAATGAAAAAATTGACAGGTGAATCAATTTAAGATTAAACAGAACCAAAATATCATTGTTATATGCGAACAACAACTAATAACGCGAGCATTGACTTTATATTTATATATATATGTGCAAGAACAACTTCCCTTCCTTAATTTTTGTCAATTAGAGTGTCAAAAATATAATCATTTCATTCTATATCAATTTTATAGTTTTGATAATCAAAATTATATATGGTTGTATTTGAAATTCGGAATTACCATTTTTATTTATATAATATTTTATACCATTTTCAAACTATTATACATTAATACTCTAAGTAATTGAATTTACAATAGTCAACGTATGCCTTTTTTCTGATAGATGCATCATTACTGGTTGCTTCTTTGTAACAATGATTTAGTATATAGTAAGTATATAGTAATTTTGTCTGATTCGCTCGATTTATTTTTTTATTAATTATTTTAAAAATGATATACTGAAAAAAGAAAAAGAAACGAGATCGATTCCTGCGCTATTCACATTTTTAGATTCATTTTTAACAACTTTTCTTTTTTCAAAAAAATAAAATATTTTTTCTTTCTTGAGGAGCATTTTTAAAAATTCATGAATTTTTCGTTTTCAGATAATGCCAGAAGAAGGCTATTTTTAATACCCTTTTTTTAAAATAAATTATAGATAATTTACATCGATTATTCTGTCAATGTAAATCGGCCTTGTTCACTTCGCATCGATACTGAATTTGAAATATAAAGTTTCCATATAATCCATAATTACGCGTATCGATACGGATCTCTTCCACAGAATTAAAGGGCAACCAACAACAGCAACAGCAGCAGCAACAACAACAGCAGCAGCAGCAACATCAGATCGAAGTGTCCAAATCGTCCGCCGGTGGTGGCTCGAGCACGTCAGAGAGACCGGTCTACCTCGGACACACGTCTCTTTTAGCGACCGGAAGCGTGGCCACCGTCAAAACGGAACCTCGAAGTTGCGATGGCATCGTTGGTCAACCCTATTCCTCGTATTATCAGCATCCGCATCAACTTGGGGTATCGAGCAGCGAGCATCAGCAACAGACGTATTACGGGAGTCAAGAGGCACCTTACCATCATCAACATCACGTTACTGCGGCTGCCAAGTTATTGGCATCCACGTAATTTCATCTCATTGTTCCCGCGACGCGGCAATCGCAAAGAAAAGAAAAGAAAAGAAAAGAAAAAGAAAAAAAGAAACGAGACAAAACCAGTGAAATTCGATAAATACGCGGTTTTTCTTCGTTTGCATTTCTCGTCGCTCGTATTTTCGTTTTGTCACTTTATCCGTTGTCGTTCGTTATTGCACCATTACAAATCGTAACGACCGATCGACGAACGCGCGGGAAAAATACGCCGATATACGATGTTTATGTTTTTCGTTCATTGTTCGTCGACGACTCGCCGCCATTTTGAATATTATCGCAGTGACCGCTCAAGTATCGATCGATCTTAATCGATTCGACTTCTCGAGGGGACGCCACGCGACGCGTATGCATTTCACGATCGTGATCGTAATCATACGTTTTCTCGTGCGATCGTTGTGGAAAACACGTATTTATATACATGTTGGACGAAAACACTAGTGTATTCGCGTATAAAAGATACTCGATTGTAAATATTATTCGCAAATCACGAATCACGATAGATTTCCACGGTAGACTAGTTCCAAAGGCGTGTCGAAAGGAACGCGGCGAATCTGAGGTACGCAAACGACAAACTCGCTTTGAAGAAATGTCAGCTTTTTTGTACAGTTCCTGTATGATTAGTTTTCCGACGCGCAATAAAGAGAACACAGCTTTCGACCTCGTCTTGTCGTTTGTCGAAGGACATCCTTCAATGCTTTGACTACCCTCCTGCTCTCAAACCTGTCGCGAACGATTTCTCCACATTGATGCTCGGTAAATATTGTTTTTTCGCGGTCTGACGACCAGGCTGACGCGAGCACCCCTCTCTCGCGATCAGTCCAGCTATAACCGTCCTCGGTGACGAATCGAGTTCGATCGAATTCTTTCCTTTCCTTGATTCCTTGTTTAGGAATCATTGATTATAAATATTATATACTCGTGATCATTAAATCCTTGAATCTCATCTCTTATTTTTCTCATCTCGTGATAGAACGATGGGTAAGTCTTTTATTTGTGAATCGAAACGATCGACGGATTCGATTAATTTGATTTTTTGTCGAGACAGGAAGAACGTTACCGACAACGGTTGCTTGCAAAGTTTGCGGCGATCGATCCTACGGCAAACATTACGGAGTTTACTGTTGCGACGGTTGCTCGTGTTTCTTCAAACGATCAGTGCGCCGTGGTGCCCTCTTTACTTGTATAGGTTCGCGAGATCTCTCTTTTTCTTAACCTTCAAATTCGTGTTGATCAGTTAAAAGCGAAATATCGCGATTTCGTGAAATTTTTCAGCTGGCGTTGGAGCGTGCTTCGTCGATAAAGCGAGACGTAATTGGTGTCCATATTGTCGCCTGAAGAAGTGCTTTACTGTTGGCATGAACACGGCAGGTAAGTAAACCGAATCGAGTTCGATCGCGAGTGTAATCCATGCATGCGTAATCGTAGAGTTAAACGAGATGTAAACAATGCCGCGTGTCAAAAGTCCCCTTCGCGTTGACAGAACAATTTCGATCCGACCGATATTTTTATCCACGCCGTCGCAACGCTATCGTCGTGATCTTTCGACGATCCAACGACAATTCACGATCGTTTATCCAATAAAATACCTCCCGTCATTTGTCTTTTGCTCAGCCGTTCAAGAAGAGAGAGGGCCACGCGTTCGAACCAAGATCGTAGCCGTCGCTCGCGATTTCTTTCGCGTTTCGTCGTCAGCATCGACGCCATTGCCACCACCGATATCTCTTTCCTCGTCGGAACCAGGAATCGCAACGCCCATTTTAACAACGAAGAATACAATGATGCGATACCACACGAGCAACGCTAGCGACAATACCGCCGGAATCTCTTCCTCATCGACCAGACAAATCTATTCTCCTCGATCACCTAAAATTCTTTCTACCGGTAATGGAAGTCTGCATCCCATCGTTCTCGAATCTTTTTCTTTTCTTTCACGTGTGGATAGAAAAGGAAAAAGCTAGTAGTATAAGTAGAGGATAGCTAATAAAATTACTTCTAGGAGATACGATACGATACGAAATCGCGGCTCGGATATTCTTCGCGACTGTCCTAGCCGCTCGACAACATCGAGAATTTTCTATGCTCGATCTGGAGGAGCAGAATAAAATTCTTCAACGAGGATGGGCTGCGGCGTTCGTTCTACGAGCCGCGATCTGGCCGATCGATCTGACCAATTTTCGAAATACGAGCACATCCAATGACGACACCGTGCACGATGTTATATTCGCGGCAAGAGCCGTCATCTCTAGCTTACAACCTGATCAAATCGAATTCTCCGTTCTGGAAACCTTGATTCTCTGTCGACCCGGTAATTAATTACTTTTATGCATAACATTATCGCCCTTGCATTCTTCGCGAATCGAACATCGTTTCTTTTTCAAAACTTTTATTTCTACCCTTTTTTATGAAATTTCCTTTTCTTTTTCTTTTTTTTTTTTTTTTTATTCAAAATCCAGAAATCGCTGAAACGATGAACGGCATTCGTTTAACGTCGCGGGCAATGGACACCGCGGTGGAAATTCTGGCTCGGCATCTTGCTGGTAAAACTGAATCATCGGTCAGAGTGGCCAAACTTTTGCTCGTCCTTCCTATTTTGACTGCTTCCTGTCCCCGGAAATTAGCCAACGATCTTTTTGCACCTATTATCGGAGACATTGATCTTGAAAAAGTAATCGCGTCTGTGCGTTGATTCTATTTCTCTTTTTCTCTTTCAAACAAATCTAGTCACGCTTATACAACTCTAT